GTTTTTACTGATAGTTCATATGCACCACTGAATTTTGATGATGTGCACTTTCTTGCTCGACAATCGTCAAACTATACAAATGAATTTGGTTTTTAAATCTCTCCAGTGGTAAACTAGAAATACATAATATTCGAGAATTAGACATGAAGGGGGCACAGCAAGGGGTCAATCAAATTGAACTTGATTTATTGATTTGTGGTATTCTGTAATACTATGCACTTAATGGCTCAATAGAGTCACTGACTGAAGGTAATAGGAATTATTATTGCTTAGAGTGATCAATCTGAATTGAGTTTTTTTTTATAGATTCTCTTAGTTCATTTACTATCAGGATAAATGATCCCATCTATGGGGAAATTGCTACAGGTTAAACAGATTATTTTGAGAATCTGACTTGTCACCATCGACACTAAATTCCTTTTGAAATGATGCATGTGACCTGTAGACATGATATTATGATACAATTTTTCTGTATGTACACAATTGATGTGCTTGGGTATTTGGCTCCAGCACCGAGTTCGATATGGTATTTGGCTCCTATGTTAGTTTGCTTGTTCTAAATACTGTGTTGGACCTTGCAGGACTTCTTTGCCCAATTTTAGGGGATGGGGAAGGCCTATGATTTGACAACAGCATTGGATGAGGTAATATAGCATTTTGATTATGAAGATTTGCATCACCTGTTATCTTTCATTTTTGAGAAAATTGCTAATAAATCGTCATCTACGGTTTACAAATAATCTATGGCAGTTTAAGTTAATAAGGGTATATTTTGCTTAGAGAACAGTTGCAGTCGGGTGGAAACTTATTTACTGAGGCATATGTTTGTTCCCTTATTTCCAAATGCAACAAGCTGCCTGATCACTTTCTAGAGTTTGTTTCACTTATTTTGCCCATCTCATTATGCGCCCTCTCAGCAGTATACGTTTATCAGTTAGTTCCCAGATGAGCTCGAATTCATTTTTTGGGCCCACAGCAATTTATGTGTATTAGTGTAGAGTTCTAGTGTTCACGTTAGTGTTCTGATAATGCCACCTCTAGCAGTGTGAGCCTGTGAGGTTTTGTTGGGGTGGTGTTGGAATGACAGAACTTACTACCTAGTAATTTGTTTATCCAAAGTTTGGTTCAGATTGGTCATATTTTACACATATTTGCCTTGTTGCTGGTGTCAAGAGCAGCTAACGCACAGAGCAGTGAGATGTCTCTTGCAAACAAAACTTGCGCCTTTAAAATACAAGAGTTGTGGTCAGATGTTCCATTGATTGCCTCTTTGTGCCCATTAATTTCTTGATGCAGACATGCATCGACAACTATCTTGTCTAAAGCGTCAGATAACTCGTTATCTTAACTAATGCCATGCGTTTTCTATTTATTTATATGCTTCTAAACTTCGTCTCCAATTACTCTGCTAATCCTTTTTCTTGCAACTTCCTGTAGTCCCCTGCCTTCGACGTCTTAAATGGATTGTATGAACCTTGAACGAGCTGGAACACTGCCATTTGTTACTCTCTCTACACGCAATTATGTTGAGAACAGGTAGCAAATATGAAGTTGCTTGTTTCATCACAGTGAAACGATCGTTCAGCAGTAAATAAAGATGGAGAAAAGAAGTTTGCAATTGCAATTTCAGCACAAACCTTGGTTACTGCAACGGAACTCAATTTGACAACGATGATAATACATTTACCTTGGTTACTGCAACGTAACTCAATTTGACAAGCCTTGATTTCAGCGCAAGCCATGATACAAATACTTGGGGAACTGTGCAGTGAATTGACACTTCGAACCTAGTAATAATACATTTACCTAGAACATTGTCCAGAAGATCTGGCGCCCTAGCACCTAGCAGGAAAACGAATATCCTAATTTTTACATAATTTCAGTGATGTTACATGCTAATTACAGTCCACACATACAGACACGAGTTTTGTTTTTCCACTAGTGTTGCCCGAAGCACAACATTACCTAAATCCCTGGGTAGCTAAGAGATTTTAGCAACATTGCCAATAAATAACACCCACACGGCAGTCGAACTACGAACAATGCATAGAACCTATGTAGAGTTAGGTGGGCAAGGGTCCCTGAACACCGAGGAAGAACCACCAGATGCGGCCGGGGAAGGTGATGAGGCTACATAGTTACTTCCTGGCAATGATGCTGAATAAAGAGCAGGAGGTTGTCCTTGGTGTATATTTGTGGCGAAGCGTGATGGACTTGCCGTAGAGAATGTTGTCGGACTCCTTGGAGTGTGGCCCTGTAACATTAGATGTGGTGCTTTAGCAATGTGAGAATACTAAAACCAACCCAACAAAGAAAGTCAGAAATGGTATATAAGCAAGCTGGGCAGCATTTAAATAATCGTCTTTATTTACTACTTAAGTTACCAGCTGATTTGGGAACCAACCCAACAAAGAAAGTCAGAAAGGGTATATAAGCAAACTGGGCGGCATTGAAAGAATCATCTTTATTTACTACTTAAGTTATCAGCTGATTTTGAAGTCTAACTCTTGCAATTTGCTACTCCCTCCGTTCCAAATTATACGTCGCTTTGACTTTTTTGTTACATCCATTTTGCAATGCATTTAGATATAATAATATGTCTAGATACATAGCAAAATGGATGAACCAAAAAAGTCAAAGCGACTTATAATTTGGAACGAAGGGAGTACCATTTAAACACTTGCCAAAACATGTAACACAGACAAAAGTAGATATGGACTTGCAACAAGACTATTGAATGAGCATTCGAGCAGCTTACCTGTAGAGAACCAAACGGTGACCTTGCAAAAGAGGCTGTTGAAGGAGAGATACTGTGGAAGTGATGCAAGGGGCGTCCAGGAGTGCCCTGGTTAGAACCAGCATCTGAATCGCCAGCAACATCACCAAAATTGACATCAACAGTCATTCTAGGGGCCAATCTAGAAACAGAACTTCCATCTGTTGCATTTTCTGATGGCTGAGGCATCGCAGCACGCAATGAAGCCTGCATGCTACGCCTTCGGATTTCTTCTTCAGCATCTAAGATCTATTCAAACAGCCAAAACAATGGTGTTTAGTACCCTGACAATGAAGTTCTCAATCAGAATAAAAGAAAGCAGCAAACCAACCAAATAACAGTGCATACATATGCTGCTATTTATTCCTTCTAAATAATGGGATGAGGGACAAAACGACAAGTATAATATTTATTTGAATATAGGAGATACTTCCTGAGATCACAAATATAAGTCCATCTAGGTCTTCCCTAAGTCAGTTTTGTGCTATCTTTTTTTTTTTTTTTTTGCGAGCAGTTTTGTGCTATCTATAACAATAATATTTAAAATTAAAATGAAATTAGTATATATTGTGAAAGTATTTTTTGGCACAATGAATCTATCAATGTCACTTTTGTGCCCTCAAAAGGTGAAAAGGTTTGACTTAGAACAAACATAGATAGACCTATATTTAGGTTTAGAGGAAGTAGATACCAAAACTTTAGTAGTGACATTATGCTAAAGCAATTCAAGGCCCCATGCACATTGGAAGTTACTTGAAATGTGCAATCATGCTGTGAAGCACCTGGATGCAATGGCATATGCGACACAATGATTAAAAACTGGCCAGACTATTATAACCTATACTCATACATCATACAGACTAACTTACCTTTGCACATTTCATTTCCAATGGGTATATATGCAACTCGTCCTAGTTTGCAGCAAATTTTTCCTACAACTAATCGCGAAGTTCTATGCTTCATTTGGGGTCAACTGATATTTGGAACTGAAAGGTTATTATTGTTTAATTAAATCCATTCAGACCAATATGTTACCAAATTGATCATCACTCAAAGATTGGGTGCCATCTGACATAGCCCAGTACTTATTCAGCAGATGAATATGCAGCAAATACTCATTTGTTATAAACTATAACCACACACAAATCAACCAGAAATATAAATAATGGCACAATTAGATACCTGCTTCAGCATCTGCACAAGACCATGCTTCTTTTTATTTAGGACATCCAGCTTTTCATTAAGCTTTCTCTTATTCTCGTCAATTCCATCAGGATAACTCACCTGGAAAAAATGTAAAACAGTGGTTGTTTCAATAAAGCCACGTAGATAAATAGAACATGCAACATAACAAAAATAAAGCATAAAGGTCAAATGTTTAGACACCTATTCAGATGCAAGCAATATGCAACCTTACTTGGTTCTACTCAAGTACTTATGCCTTCGAAAAGCACGAGAGAAAGTCTCCAAGTAATACAACAGCCTTGGCTAAATTTGTGTTCAGTAGCAATCAAGTATTCCAAGTTCCTAACAGAAGAACATAATCCTCTTTTGGGCAACTACAATGTTTAGTGCTGATTAATCTATCTCAGAAGCTTCATTTTTCACTGCAAGATGGAAATAGCTGCCATTTTTATTTTTTTGCCAGATTGAACATGTATGCAGATGCCAAATTATAGAATCCATTTTCAGAACACATTATTGTCATCAATTCCTCCGAGGAACCTAACTCTTCTTCACATCCATCAATATCCTCCTACAGTCCTAGGAACTGCAACACTTAATTTCTTTCCGGCTTAACTTGCAATATACAATCTCACTATCTACACAGTTCCCCAAATTTCCGATCGCTATTAGCAGTTAGCAGTGGCACGGTCCCAAAGCAATTGCACGCAGATACCAATCATCAAACAACGAACTGATAGCGAAGTGGTAATGAAGAATTCGGACGGCCCTCACCTCCTCCTGGATTGGGTCAACACCTTCACTTTCACCCTGACCTTCTTCCGCATCGCCATTACCATCCCCTTCAACAACTACCTCCCCCGCATCTTCCATCACCGCGTCCTCCACCGCCCCCTCCTCCTGCTCCTCCTCTTCCTCCTGCTGCTGCTCCTGTTGCTGTTGCTCCGCCTCCCCATTCCCCTGTTCCTCCTGATGTTCCTGGTCCTGGTCCTGCTGCATCTGTCCCTGCTCCTTTTCTCCCCCGTCGTCCGCTTCCTCCTCATCCGGTGCCCTCCCGGTCGGGGTCCGCGGCGCGCCGACCGCCATTCATATCCGAGGAGGTCGTGGAGACCTGCCGCGGTGGCGTCCCAGCGAGGCGCTCGACGGCGCGGGAGCGGTTGCGCACGAGGCGGCGGAACCGCTTCGCGCCGAGCGACCGCCGGGGCGCCTCCCACCGGCGCGGGGCAGGGGCGCCGCTGTCGTGACCGCCAATGTGGAGGTTGCCGCGGTACATCGAGATCGCCACCATTATCCCTGCCCGCGCCGACTGCCGCGGCGACGTAGGGTGGTGGGTTCTTCCGCTCCGGTGCGGCGGCCGTGGGTTGGGTTGGTTGCGGCCACGGCTGGACCGTCTGGGTGTGGTGGACTTTTCGGGTTTTCTGCGGGTGTCGGTCATTCGGGCCGGTGTTTGACTGTCGCTGACCATTGTGTTCACGTTGCGCTGGGGCGGATTGTTGGGCCTGATAGGTCTGGGAGGCGTGGGAGCCCATGGGTTGGTGTGTACCACTAGATAACCCATGGGCCTAAATCAGATAAAAGGCTTTTCATGCTCCAATAAAAAATTACTTTATTTGCCTTCATCTCTTCTTAAATAATAGTGCTTTATTTCGTATCGCTTTATTCCGCCGTCCTTCACACGCAAAATATCGCTCGCAAGGGCAGCCCCTATGCAGGCAGCAGTGCTAGTGGCCTCGATCAAAAGTTAGCCGCCATGTAGATAAAAAATGGTTGAAGTTCTCTTCTCAACATTGCAGGCTAATTACTTTGGCCCCGTTCGTTTGGAGAAATTCTGGAGAAATCTGGAGGAATTTGTGAGAGAAAAACACTTTTCCGGATAAAAAAAGAAGCGGATCAAGTCGAATTTAAGGGCACGCGAACGGGGCCTTTATTTGTTGCTATTGCTATCTCATTATTTGTCTCTCTCTCTACACGGACACCTGCTAGCTCGTCAGCCTTTGCTCTCTCCCAGTCTGTCTTAGCTTTTCTTTCAAAAGCAGTGGCTTGCACCATTTGTCAGTCGAAGCATCCACACCTTCTACAAGACGCTCTGTGATGCTGTGGAGCCGCTATTCGAGATGACATGGATGATCAGTGGAGAGGTGGAGGTTGGGACTGCAAGCCATGGTGGCACGTTGGAGAAGAGGCCTATACGGCTGTGATCGGGCGGTAGTCGGCCGGTGACGAAGGGTCGGCCTTTTTGGGCAGCAGCACCACGAAGGCGGCGTTGTTCAGTTTATGAAATGACCGGCTGTCTGCGAAGAATAGAGCGTTCAGCGCGGCGATGACGTCGTTCTTGATCACCGGCCATGCCGACTTGTAGAAGATCAACATGTTCGCTTGCTCGTAAACGATCGTAAATTTCCAACCGGAAACAGTTCAGCCAGCAATAAATAATCCACGATACGATACGGCCTCCCGAACAGGCTGGATGCCGGTGAAGCCATCGGGGCCCGGTGCTCTATCAGACGGCATATCCGATACTGCCGCCCGCACCTCATCTTCAGTGAACGGCCGGTCCAGCTCGGCTAGGTCGGCTGGCACGACCCCGAGCCCAGCGAAATCCAGGGTGTACGCCCCTGTGCCTAGCTGCCACCTGACTGATAAAGCAGGCGTTCCCACTTGTTGTTTAGCTTGCTAAGCCAGGCATCATGTGAGTTCTTGTGGCAATCAACTTCAGCTTGTCCAGACGTCTCATAAAATCCGGGACATGTTCCTTTGGGCATAAAGCACTCCAGCTCTGGAGCATGGCAGCTACCTTCAGTAGCAGCACACGTCCATCCTTCCACGACAGACCCTGAAGACACAAGCTGTTCCTTAGTTTCCAGAGCCCCCACAGGGCAGCGGCACAGAAGTTATTAGCCACCGGAAACTTTTTATTACTAAGCCACATAGTGCCTACAGAAATGAAATCAGAGCCAACACATCTATCTAAAACTTCAGACATAAAGGTCCAAAGCTTTTTAGCAACTACACAATCAAAGAACAAATGCTGAACATATTCAGCTTCTGCACAGAACAGACAAGAAGAGTCTACTTTTCTTCTAATAGCTAAATTGTCTCTAGTGAGCAGTTTGTTCTTTGATAAAAGCCAGAGAAAGAAATGCACTCTTGGAGAGACTTGAGAGACCAGACAGCAGGAATAAAAACAGGAGTGATCCTCTAAAATTAATGACTTTGTATAAAGACTGAGATGAATACACTCCCTTTTTTTTTAGAAAAGGAGATGAATACACTCCCTGAGAGTTAAACTGCCACACTAAAGTATCCTCCTCTTCAGAGAAACAAATGGTGGAGGCTAGTTGAACAATCTCCAGCCACTTGTTGAACCGGTGGCCAGCGGCGGCGGCGCCGTAGACGGTAGACCGTAGACCCGCGTCCACGTACGACGAAAAAGGCACCCCGTTCGCGTGCCCTTAGACCTGGGCTTGATTCGCTTCTTTTTTTATTCGCAACAGTATTTTTCTCTCATAAATTTCTCCAAAATTCCTTCAATCCATCTAAATTTCTCCAAAACCATACCATCCGAACAGGCCAAAGGCACCGGTGTGGAAACAGCCGTCATACCGAGGGATATGAATTGGTGTGACGACGTGACGTGAGGTGAGGGATCAGATTTGCATTGTTGCCATGACGATGACGCTTCCACTCGGCGTTCGGCGTTCCTAAAATCAGCTAGGGGGTACGGAGTACTACTTGCTTGAAAAAAACTGCTCTGAAATTTATTGTTCAGTTTTGGAGCTTGGAAAATCGCTAAAACTGGCTTAAAGCCCGTCAAAGTCATTCAGTCAACGCTCTGAAAATTCGAGCACGCATCACGTACTCGTTGCTTCGTCTGGAAGAAACAGCGTCTCAAATTTCGGCCACGGACCGTTACTCGATCTAGCATGTATATCCATGCAACACCCGGGCTTGTTCGGCGGGTATTAAAGCTGGCTAATAAGTCAACTAAAGCTGATTTATTATGAGAGAAAAATACTGTATATTCTAGCTGATAAGCCGGTTAATAAGTTCAAGCGAACAGGCCCTTCCGTTTCCGCCCGGCGCCCAAGACTGCAGTCCTGCACGGCTGCACCCCGAGTTATTTTGGAGGAACGTCATTATATTTCCATCAGTTTTTTAAAACGCACTCTCCATATGTTCAGAAGAAAATATAGTTTTAAGTTTTTCTTAATCTGATATAAACTCTATCAAATTTGTAGCATAAAATAATGTATTATAAAAAAAATATTGTGTGACAAATCTAATGACACTCATTTAATATCTTAATATTTTTAATGAATTGATCAAACTCAAAATAGTTTGACTCGGTACTAAAACACATCTCCAAGTAAACTATTTGAACCATAACCACCCCTCTATATTACCCTTTTTGATAACTCCAAAAAGTTCTTTGGCCATGTTTCTACAGAAAATATATTAAAACCTACAAGTTTAAATAAATTCACCATAAGGAATATTTCTTGAATAATTTAATGAAACTACTTTTGATACTATAAATATTAGTTCTTATATAAACTTTATATAGAAGTAGAAAAATTGGATAAAAGTAAAGTGATCTATCCTGTACTTTTTTTTAGCGAAGTATCCCGTATTGTTTAAAATGGACCTAGATTGTTCAAGTATCATGGCACCTCTAAATTACCCATTTGAAACGGAGATAGGTTGTGAATACAACATAAAAAGAGTACGGATAGTTCTATGCATGGATTATTTGCTCCTGTACACACGACTGGAAGAGTGTATATATAACAATAAACAATTATCACGATTATTTCAATTTCTGTTGGTGTCATCCAATATAACGAAATAAAAAGCACGATTGATAGTATTTTTCTAAGATAACCTAATAATAATATAATAGGCTTGTCCAACAGAAATGCTTACAAGCAAGCCAAGTAGCTCTACTTTGCAAATATGATATAGTGCAATACCAGTTTGCAACACAACCGACAGTCCAAAAAGAGTAGCTTTGAACGTTACATAGAGCCAGTAGAGTTGAGATGGTCTCTAGTTGTTTGTTTTGTTTCAGCTTCGGTGTTGCGTTTCGTCCAACGGCCTGCGCGCCGTAGTATTGTAGCCGTAAAAGTAGCCAGGTTGTTATTTTTGTAATCGATATTTTTTTTCTTTTCCCTCATCTAATAAAATCTCAGCAAAACTCTTGCCGTCTCTCTAAAAAAATATATAAGAGCATCTCCAAAAGTATCTAATATTTTTCTCCTAAAAAGATAGTGTTTTCCAACTCCTAAAAAAGTTTTGGAAGGAATAAATAAAGCCATCTCCAAGAGTTTCTAATAATTCACTCCTAAAAACATATTCAAAAACATATTTCAATCATTCAATGGCATTTTCGTAAATACGATCATCTTCTTTATGAGAACAGGCACGTGCAGCCTACCCTTCCGTTCCTCAGCTGGCCAGTTCCATCTCAGAGCCCAGCTCGATCGGCAACTCCAGCAAGAGAGAGAGAGATTCACGAACTCTCTAGGCAATCCAGCGCGTGTGCGTTTGTGAATGGTGAACGACGAGCGGGCAGTGTCGGAGTGCACGCGGGAGTTGTTGCTGGGAAGGTATGAGATTGTGCGGATCCTCGGGGAGGGCGGCAAGCCACGACGCGGAGCCTGGGGCGCGGCGGCGGCGGCTGCATCGGCGCGGGCAAGCAGAGGGTCGCGCGGCCGGCGGCGGCTGCACCGATGCAGGCGAGCGGAGGGCCGCGCGGCCGAGCTTTGGAGCCACGACGAGCGCGCCGGCGAGCAGGATCCGCAGCGGCGCGACGAGCAGAGGATGTTGCGGCCACGTGACCAAGCTAGGAGCCGCAGCGCGAGTAGCCTCGCGAGGCACGGTGAAGGAGAAGAAGATCATCGGAGAAACCAGAACGCAGGGATTCGTGCGACCGGAGTCCGCCTAACTTTATGCGCAAAGAAGGATTTTTCCCCAAATGCTAAAAGATTGTGAGGTATTATTAGAAGTTGTTGAGATGATTTTTTTTCTAATCTTTTTAAAAATCTAAGATTAGGAGTGTGTTTTAGGTAAGCTTGCTCTTTTTCCGCCACTGATGAAACCACGCGCCCGCACCACATGGGCCCTGTTTGGATCCATGGGTTAGAGCTAGTTTGGGTTAGTTGGAGCTCAACGAGCTCTAAAGTAGCCAAACATGAGAGCTAGAGTGGGTTATTTGCAACTAGCCCACCCTAAAAAACTATCTCCCAAAGAGGTGATTATTTGGGCTAGTTGGGGCTATTTGAGGTGGGGTCCACTGTTTTCTCTCTACTTTCACCCGCACCAATAATTTGGAAAGCACATTTATTATCATTTTAATCCTGGTATCCAAACATCTCTTAGGCTAGAGTTAGTTCAGGCTAGTCCTGAGCTAGAAACTAACTCTAACCTCTAGCTGTG